GGCTTGAACATGTGGCCTCGGCCGGGCTGGGGGTGGATACAGTGGGTTTTGAGGAGGCGTGTAGGGTTTGCGAGGAGGGGGTAAGGGCTGGCGGGGAGGGTGCGAGCTGTAAGGCTTGCAAGGGAGTGGGAGCAGCACGGGGATGCAAGCAAGGGGATGGGATGTGGGGCGCCGGCTGGCTTTTGAGGGCAAAACCCAGCCGTGAGAGGCTTGGAGAGGGTCGGACGGCGTCAAAAAGGGCAGGGGTTGCAGGGAGCTCTCTGGGGGACGTGACACGGGGACTTGGTCAAGGGAGCGGACAACAATGCGCGTGCGCTGGACAAAGAAGGCGCGACAGCAGCCTGGCGGAGGGGGGCGGGCCCGCCGCATCGCCGGGGCCTGGACGCAGGGGGGGCGTCGAGCTTGCGCGGCCCGGGCGGCGCCGGCGAGGGCCGCGTGCTGCTGGCCCCGGCGCACCTCTGGTGGATGTCTGGCGTGATCCAGGACGGCTCGGGGTCAGAGATGAGCATCGGCAGCGCCCGCCGCGCGGTCCCGTGCCCCTCCGCCGCCCCGCCCGCCGCCGACGACGACCCTGCCTCGGCCGCCGCCTCGGCCTCCGTTTCATCGCCGTCGTCGCCGCTGCACGAGACAAGACTGGATGCGGAGCGCTCGCACGGCGTCGCGGCAGCACCTGCCTCGGTGGCCGCAGCGGCTGCGGCGGCAGCGGCGACGGCGGCAGCGGCCGCCGCCTTGAAGTCGCGCACCTGAGCCTGGATGTACGCGTCTGGCTGTGTGTACAGCGAAGCCCCAACGATGCACACGCTCCACCGCTCACGCGCCGCCGCTGCGGGCGCCGCGAGCTGCGCCGCCGCTGCGGGCCGTGACTCGGTTGGTGGGATCGGGGCTGGGGCGGCGGGCGGCGCCTCTGCACACGGCGCTTCCCGCTGCTGCTGCTGCTGCTGCTGCTGCTGCTGCTGCAGCTGCCGCCGGTCCTTGGCCAGCGCGTCGCCCTCGGCCCCGGCTGCCTTGCGGGCCGCCGCGGACTGCGCATCCCTCCTCAACAAATCCAAGGCGAGTGCCGCGAGCGCCGCCAGCAGCAGCGCGCCAAGCAGCACTCGCGGCGGCAGGCCGGCGCGCAAGCGCTCAAGCGGCGCGCGCTGCGCGTCGTCGCCCGACAGGAGCGCCGCCTGCACCAGCAGCGCCGCGACCACAGGCCCGAACGACCGCGGCAGGTCGGAGGCGTGTGCGCGCCATCTGCTGCGCCTCTCCTCCTGCTGCTGCTGCCGCTGCTGTCGCTGCTCTTGCTGCTGCCGCTGCTGCCAGCCGCGGCCGGCGCTGCTGACTTGCGGCGCCCGGGGGGCGTCGAGCACCGGGGACGGCAGGGACGGCTGCGCCGCCGGCAGCTGCTGCTGGGCGGCGGGTGCCAAGAGGTCGGCCGACGGCGCCGCCGCGAGCGCAGGTGCGGGCGCCTTGACGAGTGCGATCTGCAGGACAGCGTAGATGCACTGGGAGTGCTCCACTTCCACCGCCCCGCTCGGCCCCGCCGCGCCGCCGTGCTGCGCCGCGGCCGCCTCGGCGGCTGCCGGGTTCTTGGGCAGCACCGACGCGCGCACCCTGTGGAGGAAACACGGCTGCGCCGCCGCCGCCGCTGGCCCTGCAGCACCCGCGCCCGTGCCGACGGGGGTCGGGGCGCGCCCGGCCGCCGACGCCGGCGCCGCCGAAAAGTAGGGGTTCAGCGGGGGCGCGAGGACGCCGTCCGCTGACTCATCGTGCAGCAGGGCGAGCAGGTGCTCTGGCCGCACCCTTGCGGCAGCAAGCCCGAGGGGCGTGCTGAACGTGACCACCAGCGCAGCAGCTTCTCGGCAGCTTCCAGCGTCCGCGCCCGCCCCGCAGAGCGACGGGCGGCCGGGAGCGGCACCGGGCACGCTCAAGGTGCGGCGGCCGGCCGCGGCGAGCGACGCGCCGCGCGACAGGGGCGTCTCGCTGCCCGCCGCGGCGGCCACGGACAGGTGCTCGCACCACACAGGCGGCAGCTCAACGGTCGCGCCCCAAGGCCCCGGCCCGAGCGCGAATGCCGCCGGCACAGGCGTAGGTGCAGGCGGCGTAGAGGCGCGCGGGGGAGCCTCGAACGCGGCGCCTGCCAATTCGATACTGAAGCTCGTCGGTAGCCCGCACGCCAGCCACCGCGCCGCGTCGGCGTCCGCGCCGCGCGCGTACGCGATGGCGCCGGCCGCGGCGCGCGCCGTCTCGGCGTCGTCGAAAGTGATCGTGCAGTGGTCAACTCGGTGCACCGACTCGCCGCCGCCGCTGGCGCCGCCGCCGCCGCCGCCGCAGCTGCTGGCCGCGTCGTCGTCGCCGCACACGCTGCCGCCGCACGCGCTGCCGCCATACGCGCTGCCGCCGTGCACGCTGCCGTTGCCGGCGGCGGTGAGGGCAGCCGCGCGGGAGAAGGCGCCATCCAACGAGCCAAAGGCGCGCGCGCGAGCCGATGACGGGCTGCAAGGCGACCCTGCCCGCACGAACGAGGGGCTGAACGGCGACGGGGCGCGCGAAATGGAGGGACCGGGCGAGCACGCCCGGATGCTGAGCGCCGCGCCGCCGGCCCCGCCACGCGGGGGCAGCGGGGCGCTGCCGCCGGCCGTGCTGGGCGCGCTGCGCTCGACTGGGGCCGTAACGGCGCCGCCGCCGCCGGCGCTGGCGCCGCCGCCAGTGGCGGC